AAACAAATTATTGCAATTGTTGTTCTCCAGACTGTACTTCTCGAAGGTTCAGATCTGTAGCTACAACAAAAATGAGCTCCAGATACAATTTTAGGCTTTGTCTACAGTGCATTCCGTGGCCTGGTGTAAATCCACTTTTGGTGCACTGTACCATTGAGAGGGCAAGTAGAGTTCTATATTAATGAGAAATAGTATACAGTGTGGAACAGCCAAATGGAATACATTCAGTAGCTCTATTATTATGCATTTTTTTTAGAAAATCCTGAGACACATCAATTTTTAATTCTAAAATGACATCTTGCGACGTAAAAATATCATCCCTAAATTCAACCCCCTTTAGCTGACAGCTACAACCCCTAAATTTTCAAATTGGAAGTAGGGGCTTGTGATACTTCATTTGAAAGGTCTTTTCATTCTCCATTGAAAACTGCTATGATTTTAAATTTTATTGCAGAAATTAACAAGAAAACAATTTCTTACACTTCACGGCCATGTTAATCGCCAAAACTGTCATTACTGGTCGAGAGAAAATCCTCACTGGATGAGGGAACCACGTACGCAAAACCCTGAGAAAGTTAATGTTTGGGCAGAAATAATTGGAGAAAATATCATTGGCCCCTTCTTCATTGACGGCAGTTTGAATGGAGAAATTTATTTAGCGCTGCTCCAAAATAATGTTGTACCGACGATGGCAAACTTGTATCCAGCTGAAGGAAACCTACAACTTCGAGGTAATGGAATATGGTTCCAGCAGTATGGTGCACCAGCACATTACGAAGTCAATGTCCGGCAATATCTTCACACAATCTTTCCAAATCGCTGGATAGGGAGACGCGGTTCTATAGAATGACCTGCACGATCACCTGATCTTACGCCGTTAGACTTCTACCTATGGGGATATGTAAAAAGTAGTCTACAAAACCAAACCCGACGATTTAGCTGACTTAAGAAAAAGAATAACACTTGCAATTAAATCGATTACCCCGCAGATGTTAACTAACGTTAGAAGACATTTATATTTACGTCTAGGATGCCGCCAAGATGCTGGAAGCATGCATTTTGAACATCTGCTGCATTAATAATGATTTGTTTTTTATTTTAATGTAACGAATTTCCTACGCTGGAGAAACTTGTGAATAATGGAGCTACTGAATTTATTCCATTTGGCTGTTCCACACTGTATGTATAAATACGTACAATATGTACTTATGTACTATAAAAATTGATATCGCGTAAAGCAGCTATATAAAAATGTGGGGACGAAATAAATTAAATTTCTCAGTAATTGAGAAAGTTTTGATCGTTTAAATGTGAAAATTGGTAGTTTTATGTTTTTGGTGTGAGAATTACGACTTTTAAGCTTATTTTGACGTCGCTCCTAGAGGGCGCTAGTTTCACCATATTATTTAGGTAAATTAAAACATATTTTTTTATCTGCTGATCCATGCGTAAAACAAGAGAAAAGGAACTCTTGTTTAGGCCGTCTAAATCTATCGGTTTTTAAGTTATTTGTATTTAAAAGGTTCAATGTATTTTGTGATTTTTTTTGGCGCTGATATTGCTATTTTTTTCTGAGTAGGCTTGTATCAATATTTGTTAAATTAACATATCATTAAATTATTTGATTATTATTTCTGCAAGAGGACTAGCTAGTAATCAGAAAATGCCACGACAATAATTTTTTCTAACAGTGAGATGCGTGATATGATTTATATTTTTTCTCAGGCGACATTTACTAGACGGGGAGTTTTTTTGGAGGAACAATCATTTGTGGGTTTCCGACAATCCACATGCTGTAAAAGAAATACATTTTCAACAGGAGTTTAAGTTGAACATTTGGTGTCGTGTAATTTCTAATTTTGTCACTGGACCTTTTGAATTGCCACCCAATCTAACTGGACCTCGGTACTTAAACTTTCCTCAACATAATTTAAACGAGCTCCTAGAAGATGTATCTACCACTCGCATTAAGAGAAAACATGTGGTTTATACACGGCGGAGCGCCACCACATTTTGCCTTAACAGTACGCCAATATTTACATGAGCATTTACCTCATCGGTGGATTGACCGTGGAAGTGAATTTGTTTGGCCACCAAGAAATCCAAACCCAAACCCTCTGGGCTTCTCTATGGTCTCTATATGTATCTCTATAGTCTCTATAGGCTCTTCTGTATGGTCAAATTTGAAGGATCTATTTTATCAGGAAGAAGTTAATTCTCTTCAGGAGTTGCGGCAGAGAATACAAGAATCCGCGAATAGATTTTTTTAAAAATAATTTTAATTTTGCAAAATTTTGTTTGACATCCAGAGACATTTAAGAAGTATGTGATGCCCACATCGTTTTGATATCTTAATTAACTTGACTTTTAACTGTTTGTAATAATCCCAATGAGGCTGATTTTGTAGTTTTAAAATTACGGAAAACTTTACCACTGGCCTTTATCATTAGTTTGATAAATATTGTAAGTAAACCATGGATGATTTTGTTACCCTAATTGTTCTATAGGTGCAGTGATATTAAAAATTGAAATTAGATTTTCATTCATAAAATGTACCATTTCATTGACGTTATTTAGTTGGTATATATGATCCCAGTTTATGCTATGAAAATGTTAGAAAACTAATGTTTCGTCAAATTCGAAGACGCCGAATGTTTGTTAATGTTTTTGTTTTTTTCATTCTTTATTATTTTAAAATTATAAAAGTACCACACTCATTTTCACTTAGGAGATTAATATTTAAGTCACCAGTAAAAAACATTGCATCAGTCAGGTAGTACTATATAGATAAGGAATTTAAAAAAAAATCAAATAATTCTAATATATTCGTGCTGATATATTCCAGCCACATTTGAAGATGTCAGTTACATTTTATCACGTAAATTTTATCACGTAAGTACTGTTAACTAAGCTAAGCAAAGCTTGGTTAACAGTTATCAGAACTGGAGAAGATTCGTAAAAACTTTGTAGCGTCAGATAAGTTTCTATAGTTGTCTCCGAGGGTCTGACTGTATGGTACACGTACATTTGGAATATAATGTTTTTTTACACTGATGTCTCGTCGCGACCTGGTAACGGAATCTCAAAGGCATACTCTTTTTTAATTTTATGTTTCACACTATTTATGTGACACTACAATCGCGTCTGTCCCTACACAGCAGTTTTCCCTTACAATCCCTACGCAATACGGTCGCCCCATCATAAAATAAATCTTCGACGTCACCGATGAATTTTTGTTATATTGTAATCAAATAGTAGTTTTTTTAGACGTTTGCATATATGACATTTTATTATTAACGTAATACCGACTCGGACGATATAAACACCTCAACACACTAATAATAATGCTAGAGTCTGCCAGACGGTCAGGCGAAACGACTGAAGCCTCATATAAAACCTCTCAGGTGCTGGTCACCCGCCGCTGCAGCGGCCAGCATCAGTATGGAGTAATTTTATTAAGACCCGGCAAATGTTTTCAACGTTTATTCGGGTTTTCAAACGTCATTACGAAGCCATTTAAGTGAAAAAATCTTCAAATGCGGCTGGAGTAATTTTATTATTTTTAGGGGTTGCTGCACCTTTAGTACGGCCCGGGAAATGATTTTAACCTACATGCGGATTCGATAACCATATAATAAAGCCATTTACGTGAAAAAATTTTACTGACATCTTCAAATGTGGCTGGAGCAGTTTTATTATTTCTAGGGATTGATACACTTATTACGGCCCGAGAAATGATTTCCATGGGTAGGTGGATTTTCCAACGTTATAATTATTAAGCAAGTTTTTGTGAAAACATTTAATCGACATCTTCAAATGTATAAGATGTAGCTTTTAAACTTTTTAAGGGTAGTTTCCACACTCCCATTTTTGTGTAACTGCCAGCGCTACTAAATGTCTTAAAATATCATACCGTCGTGGAAAATAATTTCTGGAATGTTGAAATTGTGAAATAGTTGTAATATTAAATTTGTGGATGGACGACCGTGGCTGTTTTCACACCGGTGTTTTTTTTTCAGAATTTTCTCTATTAAAATGTATGTCAACAATTTTATTTTTGTAAATTTCAACGCCCCTCTCTGGTTCACTAAGTCTCGACAGTTGCAAACTCTATTATGTTGTGAATTTCTCTGAAATTCTAAGCAAAACAAATTTATTACCTCCATTTATCTCCTAACTCCTGAACCGATTAAGTTCAAAATCTAATTAGCTTCAGACGTCATGGTATAAGTGTTCAAAGTTGATATCTTAACCCATTCTCGAGTTACCGTGTACACAATAACGGTTAACAGAGAGAGGCAGACACATAGCCATTTTTTTACTATTTCGTGAATTATCATACTTCACTATGTGGATGTTGTCCGAAAATTGTCCGATTGCAACCTGTAAGTCGTGTTTTTAAAAAAGTGATATTTGGATATGATCTTTATGACCTAAAGTGTGTCCCCATATCTACGCACCAAATGGTGAAAAGGTATACCAATAATAGTAAATAATAATAATAATAAATCCCACCACAGAAATTGACATTCTCCCTCTAAGAGTCATTACAACTATGCAGAGGGAGAATACACATGGAAAAGACGTAGGACACACAACTAAGATAATATAGAGTAAAGGTATTCTAATCCTGCAATGCATGATGGGAAATGTGTCAAGAGGTTGCGCCGCCACATGTGTGTCTTGAAAACTACCTAATACCTAAGCTACATTCAAGCAACTCCCAGGACAATAAAAATTATAAAAAAATAATAAATCAACGTCGCAAAAATTATTTTTTCATTACAAGTAATATTAATTAGCTGTAATTAGTAATTTAAATACCAAAACTAAATAATAATATTATATTATTTACTTTTAAAGTTGTAGGAAACGAAATGTAGCAAGTTAGTTTTCAAAACAAGTGTGGCGGCGCGACCTCTTGACACATTTCCCATCATGCATTGCAGGATTTGAATATATTATCTTACACATAACCAAACCCTGTGACAGGTGCCAATTGCCACAGGCGGGATTCGAACCCGCGCGGATAATATGTAGCCCTCGAAGTAATCGCCATCTTCTCATCTGTGCGCTTTACCCACTGAGCTATCGCCGCGGCTAAATGTGATAATGTGAAATGTGAATATGTGCAGCTATGTCTGAATTGAAAAGAGGAGGGTCCCTAAGGCCGCTTTTCGGTCTAATTTATTTTTTTATTTACTTATTTAATTTTGGTAAAAAATCAAAAATTTTTTATTTATTTATATATCAATACAATGGATTTGACCACAAACGAACCCACCCCGAACGGATATCACATATAGTATCCCCCCTCCTGAATTACCCCCCCCGGAAATCTGCACCCCTCCCGTTATTCCTACCACTCACTTCTGCGTGTAAAATGGATTGTTGGGAACTATATGAATATTATTGAAAAATATTGTTTGATTTGTAGTACAAGCATTATTATTTTCAATAATATCCATAAAGTTCGCAAAAATCCATTTTACACGCAGAAGTGAGTGGTAGGAATAACGGGAGGGTTGCAAATTTCCGGAGGGGGGGGTAATTCAGGAGGGGGAGAGATTATATGTGATATCCGTGAGTGGTTAGGGTGATGTTGTTTTTTTCAGCCAAAAACTACCGTGGAAGTTGGTAAAAAGCAAATTGTTTATTGCTTCATTAAGGCGGGTAAAAAGAGGGGTTGGGGTGGGTTCTTTTGTGATCAGATCCATTGTAAATTATATACAAATAATTTAAAAAAAATTTTTTTCATTTTTTGACCAAAAATAAATTAGGCCGAAAACCGGCCTTAGGGACCCTCCTCCCTGCAGGAGGTTCAGCCCTGCTTCAATAGAAACTAATTTGTTGCAAAGTAGTAGCAGTATACTAAACTGTTGTTTACTATAGTGCTTTTTCTAACAAAGGTACAACAAAATGTTAATGATAATTGTTTTACAATGACAAACTATACAAACGTGCATAATTTTAACAATATCGCTTTGCTTAAATCAATCTGTCTTATATTTTGATGTATAAAAAGAATTTTAATTAATATCATCAAAAAATGTCAAAAATACCCTTTTTATATCAGTATCGAGTAATTCAGAACATCGGTTCCGAAGAGATTCCCGAAATTGATAAGTCAGAGCTGAGAGCAGCATTAAAACAGATGAGAAATCGTAAGGCACCCGGAGAAGACCAAGTGACGAGTGAAATGCTGAAAACAGAGGAGAAACTCTGGACAAGGCACTCCTCATTCTCCTCAATAAGTGTCTGGATGAAAGAAGGATTCCAGATGCATGGAGGGACGCTGAGGTGACTATCCTCTTCAAGAAGGGCGACTCTACGAACATCGAGAATTACCGGCCGATTAGCCTCCTTTCTGTGTTATACAAGCTCCTTACAAAAATAATCACCAACCGTCTCACCAACAAGCTCGAATTTTACCAGCCTGTAAAGCAAGCTGGATTCAGGAATGGTTACAGTACGATAGATCACATCCAGGCAGTTCGCACGCTGATTGAGAAATGCACTGAGTACAACGTCCCACTCCACCTGGCGTTCGTCGATTACCAGAAGGCTTTCGACTCTGTGGAGATATGGGCAGTTCTACATGCAATGGACGCTGCGAGGATTGACTCGAGATACTCGAATCTCATCAGAGATATATATAAACATGCTACCCTCCACGTGAAAGTCGGAGAAGACTTAGTCACCGAGAGGATCCCTATCAAGAGAGGAGTCAGACAAGGTGACACTATCTCGCCAAAACTGTTCACCTTTGCACTGCAGGACGTATTTAAAAACCTGACCTGGGAGAGAGCGTCAATATCGATGGAAAGTTCCTGAGTCACCTACGCCTCGCTGACGACATCATCCTGATGAGCGGAGATGCCTATGAGCTTGGACTCATGCTGAGAGAGCTGAAGGAAGTTTCGAAATCCGTGGGCCTGAGGATGAACCTCCAAAAAACCAAGATTATGAGTCGAGATAACATCCAGGTCACACTCGACAACCACACACTTGAAGCTGTTGAAGAGTACGTGTACCTTTGTCACAATATCAAGATTAACAAGGAAAATCAGACCGCAGAAATCACCAGGCGAATTGGCCTGACGTGGGCGGCTTTTGGAAAACTCAGTTACATCCTCAAAAAACCGGATATACCCATCAACCTGAAGCGGAAAGTAGTCGATGCCTGCATCTTACCTGTTATGACCTACGGCTTCGAGACCATAACCCTAACACAGAATAGGGCGAACCAACTCAGGGTATATCAACGGACAATGGAACGTGCGATGCTGGGGATCAGCTTGAGGGACCGAGTCAGAAACGAGACCATCAGAGAGAGAACAAGAGTCGTTGATGTCATAGAGCGTATCGCCGCCAATAAATGGCGCTGGGCAGGGCACGTCGCCAGGGATGACATCAAGTGGACGAAGACTGTAGCAGTGGCGGCCCAGAGAAACTAAGCGCAGCGTCGGGCGCCCCCAAACAAGATGGAGGGATGATATGGGAGGGATTTTGAGTGCTCAGGATAGACAGCGGTGGAAAAACATGGAAGAGGCCTATATCCAGGAGTGGATGAGAACAGGCTAAAGAAGATATCAGTAGCATACGATGCATAATGTATACAATTCAACTTAATATTCCTAATCGATACTTATATGATCTTTATGACCAGTATAGCTTCTATATTCTATATGTTCATTATGACCTTTATGACTTTGATGATCCTGTAATATATTAGCTGGTATTAGTATTCAATACGTAGGTTGGCCGAGGAATGAATTTACTTTTTAAATATTCATATCTACATGAAAAGAAAGAAGACACAAAAACATAAAACAAAAAATTGTACAAGTATAGGCAACAAAAAGAGAAATACTTAGAGATCTAAAACACTAACTTGGGCCTTCAATTGTGTTACTATAAGGTTTTCAGTAAATTGTTTCTTATTAACATTATTTGATGTGCTTGGCAAGGAAAAATTGAAATTAGATTCAGGCAACATAATATGTTTATTTTGTTCTATAGGGTCTATTGTTCAGGGTTATTACTATCCAAAATATTAGGAAATTTGTCATCCGTACACCTCTTTTTGTTTTACAGGTGACTGTAACATTTTTTTTTAGCCTCATGATATGAATCTATCAAACAAACTTTTTCCTTGAGACTCAACTGACAATTTGTAGTGACTGAACCAGCCGACCAACTTGGCAAACAAAACAAAAAATCTTTAAATAAAATTTTCTCTCCAATATCTAATCAATATAATAGTAGATTATTATCTTAATATTTTTGATTACTGCTTATTAGATATTACTGTTTGCTACTGGTTTTAATCTCCTGCCTAATATTTTTTCAGCTGCACTCACTCCGCTGTAGAATGTGCTGTATTACGGTATAACAGTAAAAATTGTTGCAAAGCTAACAATAGCAACTACAGTAACCTCAATTAATGTTATACAAAAGTTGGAAGCACATGGATTATCATTATGCGTCCAGTTTCAAATCCTGCACGATGTACAAAACAAGATTAATGCTGCCACCACAAGTTCTGTCAGCACTACAATTACGTCCTTTTTAAGCAGAAAATGACGTCCATATTGATAAAAAAATTTACTCCAAAAATAATCGCGCATACCTCACTTTGTATGTATGAATACGATTTTTTCAGCTTGAGTTAAAGCAATAAGATGGCGGCCACCATTTGGATAAACATGTGAAATTACTTTAGAAATTCCATAATCACTAGCATGACAAGCCAATGTAATAGGCTTTAATTACACATTAATTCCTTTTTAATGTTGTCACAAGCTAATTCTTGCAATTTGTTCCACACAAATTTTGTATTTCTCTTGTTTAATTGAATTTTTAAATTGCCTAAATTAAAACATTTGTTTAATTTTTCAAAAACTTGTATCAAATTTTCCGTATGTTGTTTATACCTGGCTGCTATTAAAATATCAAGAAAAATTGCGACACCTATTGCAACATCTACCTGATCTATTATTTTTTGAAAAATGTTCAAACAAGAAGCAACTCTTTATAACTTGAATGATCCTGTAAATTCTTAGCTGATATTAGGATTAAATACACTGGTTGGCTGAAGAATGAATTTATCCATTGCTCTATAGACGTTGTTCATTAAATATATCACTGCATATTCTCTATATACATTTTGTTTAAAACCAAATCGTCTCTAGGAAATTATTCTAAATACCCTACCACTCTTTTTTTAACTATTTTACCACTTTTGCAATAGAAGAAATAAGTGAAATTGGTCTATAATTGGAGAGATTTTGTTTCCTTTTTTTAAATAAGGGTTTAATTACATCCATTTTAAGTGCAGAAGGAAAATCGACACTCTCAAAAATTTTGTTAAAATATAAGAATGACGCTTTTATAAAAACCGAGATTAACTTTAATTCCTTTTGTTCATAGTACGTGACCCTTTTTTGGAATTATTAATAACGGGCTGATTTTTTCGTAAGTAGCTTCAGTTTGATGAGACGCCCACAACCTGTCAATGACAATTCTCAACAGTGGCATTTTACGAAGTGTTAAAGTGGAAAACGTGTCAACCGCATGATAATATAAGTTTGATTAATAACAATTACCTTTCTAATTGAATTCGAAGATATTCATACAAAATACTCGGAAAAACGTTTGTCCTACAAATTTGACAGTTTTGCGGAAGGGTCCTACACTATCAACATGTTAAAATTAACAGGTCATAAAAATGATTAATAACCGACTGAATTTTTTTAGTCCTGCTTACTAAATAATTGTGTAATGCAATGGTAATATCGTCCTACAAATCCATTGGCATAATTCCTTAGTTCTATGCTCGAAAGTTGTCGAGTTCATGAGGACATTTGTTTGATTGATAACTGTAGGATAAAGATAGCAAATGAAAGTTTAGTAAGTCAGTTATCGAACTACAACATTGTCCTACACAAAAAGAAGCATGTGTCGCTAGTCCGACAAAAATAATAAAAAATAACATTATTACTTAAGGGGGGCATACCAATTAGAATTTTGAAGAAATCTATGTTTGTTTGTTTTTTCATAAAATGGTTGTATACCATTCCAAGAATATTCCTGAAAAAT